CTATTGCTCGGTGAGCTCAAAGTTCTATCATAGAAAAATTAAAGAGTTCTTCTTAGCTCTTCCTTAGCAAACTGAAAGACTGACAAATTGCACCTTGATGGGATTAACTTTTCATGAAACACCAGGTCTCATACAAGTTTGGAACTCAAATAATATAGGGAAATGAAGATGAAACTTTTTACAAGAAAAATATTAAAGTATTATAAATGTGTAAGAAGCGGGGCTGGGGATTTAGCTCAGCGGCATAAGCGCCTGCCTTGCAAGCAGGCAGTCGTGAGTTCGATCCCTGGTACCGATAAAAAGACAAAAAAAAAAAAAAATGTGTAAGAAGCACAACTAATTCAGTCTGATTTTGTCAAAATGTTAGCAAACACCATTAATGAAGAGAAAAGTCCAACCAAGTATCACATGCTTCTAAAGGAGATGCATTATTTCCATATGTAGCACTGTCTCACATTGACAATTGTAGTCAGGGCTTGAAAGGAGAACAACACAATTAAAGGACACATAATTTACAGTATTATTTATAATGGTCACCCAAGGAATCAAATACAAAGGAAGTTCAGGAAATCTTTTCACAACACTAAAGACCTAGAAAATCCAGGTGAGGGTCTGGATCCCGTGGCAATATCCCACATAAGTTCAGCTGAAAACTACAGCCCATGACAATGACTCATGCAAGTCTGTTTCATGGATCTGCACTGAGAAGGCCCAAAGGTCAGTGGTGGAAGCTAGAAGGTCCATGCCAGTGGGGTGAAGGATCTGTGCCAGTAGGTTGAGGGTCCTACACAGGATCCAAGAAGAAACACTCAAAATAAGGACCAGGGCTCTCCTAAAAAGTATCACAGCCATCCTCAGTGACAATGAGGTCCCAAACTCCTCCAATGAAGCAACCAGCTGAGTTTATATCAGGAAGCCAGCATGACAAACTTTTCCTGGAGATTGGATAGTACGTATCTTTCTCTCCAGAGCCAGGAAGTGATACTCAAAGTAAGGACCAGAGCTCCCCCAAAGTGAGCCGCAGCTATTCTGAGTCACAAGGTCCCGAACTCCTTTGATGATAATGGCTGAGTTCATATCAAGGGAGCCAGCATGACAAGCTCCTCCATGAGAGCCAATGGCTGCAGACAACAACACTTAGGAGAACCCCCAGCACCACTCTTCCTCTCCAGGTCTCCTTTTTATGCTGACAACAGGCCATCCACACTCAGCACCACCCTGACTCAGGTCCACTGCTGTTTAAGTTGACCACCAGTTATAATCCACCACAACTATACTCTCAACATCCTCCCTAGGCATCTTCAGAACGGAAACCTGACCACAGACCAATAGATAAAACACCAGACTGAGCCACAGGAACCTGAGGGTTTTGGAAACCCCAGTCAGTTGGATATCTACAATTTCATATTGCCTCTCCTAAATATAAAGCTATACAGAGTCTGTACTGAACTAAAATAAGCTTTCCATAAAAAATAGGTAAGTTCTGAAAACCATGAATAGGACATTAGATAGGACATTCGCACACCGCCAAAACTTTCCATCCGCCATCCTTCCATAGTCAGAGAAAACCTGATATTTATGCTCACTGAGCATAAACACCCTTACACACACGGCGCTAGAATGGATCTCCAATAAATGATGAAGGGAAGCTAGCATGTTGGCAGGGAGGCTGCTCACCTTAGAAGTTGAAACGGAGAACAAACTCTTCCCTACAAACGATCATTTGGGGTAAACCTAAAGTTAAGAGAAGAATAAGTTTTATCCAGGATAAGAAGTCTGGTCAAAATTATTTGTTTCAGCAGGAAGTCTGGTGACAAGCAACAAAGACCAGTGACCACAGGTTCATCAACACTTCTCTTCATGCAGTCTTCAAATTAAACAGAAATAAAATCAATGATTGGGTGGGAATATAAAATGGTACCACTGCTGTGTAAAACAGTACAGCAGTTCCACATCAAAATAAAATAAAACTAGACCTCCCATGTGATCCAGCAATTCTACTTCTGGGTATACATCCAAAAGAAATGAGTGTAGGGACCCAAGCAGGTACCTATGCACTCATAGGTTCACAGTGTTACTCACAATTTCTGTCCAAAGACAGAAACAGACGCCTGACAGCCCATCAACAGATAAAAGGGAAACAAAATGCAACATTATCTACTCATCAAATCGTATTCAGTTTTTAAAAAAATTAAATTGTGACATGTGCTAGCCTATGCATAAACCCCGAAGACTCTAGGCTACACGGACAAAGACACAGAAGGACAAACACTGGATGACTCTACTTATCAGAGAAACCTACAACAGACAGTCAAAATCATCAAAGGAAGTAGAATGGTGAGGGCCGGCTGAAAACCAGAATGTGGAATTATTGTTTAACGACTACAGAGTGACAGTTTGGGAAGATGAACAAATTCTGGAGATGGATGCTGGACATGGTTGTACACTGATAATGTGAATATAATTAATGTCACTGAGCTGTACAATTAAAAATTTTAAATGGTAAATTTTATGTTGTAACTGCTGTACCACAACAGAAAAATAAAGATCGAAAGTCAAAAGTAAGTTTTTATCAAAGCAGTGAAGAAGTAAATAAAGAATAGCCACTTTTATGTACGATACATCCCATGGGATCATTGGATACCACAAACTACAGTGATGAGCCCAGCAGTCACTGCATGTAGAACTCATAAGCTGGTTTCTCCAAGGGCCAGGGGCCAGTAGGTGGGACCTGAGCATAAACTGCAGGTGTCTGCACAAGGCCTTCAGAGCTACACCATAGCGCAAAGCGAGCAGTGCTCATGTGTCCTGTTTCCTTAACTTGGCAGGTTTCTAAGTATGACATAGGCAAGAGGAATTCATCTTTCCCACATATCTGAAATTTCAGCGTAAGCCTATGCTTTTCACCCAAACAATTTTGACTTTGCAAAGAGCCAACTGTTCTAGGAAAATCAAAACTGGCAAATTAACACCTCCAGGAGATGTTTACACTCTGTTAAGCAAATCTGCCAAGCTAGATCAGGTTTTCCCAAAGCTACTTGCAAAGTGTGAGTGGGAAGAGGAAGAAACACAGGTGAAAAACTGCTCATCTGTGCAAGGCTTTGTGTGACTGCACCTGACACCGCACGCCTGACTCCCGGGGCTGATGCATCTACAGTGGAGGACTCACGAAATTTCCTACATTCTCACTGGAACTGAGCATGACCTAGAATAGTGGTGGTGAACCTCCAGCACGCATATCATTGAGTTTTTCTTTTAAGACAAAAGATGTCAAGGTGTGAGTTGTTTTTTCTAAACTAAAATCTCAGTATTCAGGTTTGACTGCATGGTTGGCACTTTGTGATAAACAAAGAGGTTTTGAATTGCAGTTTGGGCACTCTTGGTCTCTAAAATGTTTGCCTTCACTGATCTAGATAGACTAAAAACTGCCCTATGTATGGAGAAACCTAAGCACCCTTCTAAGAAGTAGAAGGGGGCCCATCAGACTACAATAACAAAACAAAGACCTTTTGATCAAAGCACACAGACACATCACCATGTGACAGATGAGGAAACTGGATGTATTTGCCACAGGTCACAAGACGCCTTACAACCCCAAGAAGTCTCCTAAATACTGCTCAAAGGCCATGAAGAAAACTACTTGCATTTGCCAAGGAAATAATCCACAGTAAACAGATCCCTGGGTAAGACAAGAGAGATAAAAGAAGCAATAGCATAAATTGTTTGACCTTGATCTTTATCTTTAATGAGGACTTGGAAAAAGCATTTGTTTTAAATAAAAATACACACAAACAGCCAGGGAAAACAGAAACCCAGGATGGAGTTTACATCCTTCATCGGCTGACACACACTGTCTCTGCGGTAACTCCTTTTTAAGGGTACCTGAAACCTTGGTCCCTGTGTAACAGTCAAGAGCAGGGCAAACTATGGGACATTTTATGGTATTTAGCAACCAAAAAAGCACTGACTGCATCGAAACAGGCCTTCGCACTATAGCTACAGTAAAAAAGAAAGAATTAAAAACAATCTAAATGACAAACAATGAAAATATTTCTAAATGAAAAACTATAAATTGTCTCCAAATTACTAAATCAATCTAAAGTTAAAAGTTGCATCCCAAACATTCAACTATTTCCTTAAATACCATTAAAAACAGTGACAGCTCTTGAACAATAGGCTGGATTTTGAAGTAGATATTTTTCTTTAGTTGACAGAATTATATCAAACATAAGGTTTACTTAAAAATATAATTCCCTTTGTCAAATGCTTTTTTCTCCTAGATTTAATTCTGTGACTCTGATTTCACTAAATTTCCCTTTTTTACGTCAGTGAAGGGTCTTGATTGTTCTGAGGTTTCTAATCAATGGAGATTTGAATAAATAAAAAGATTTTCCTATAAATACATGATTTTGCTATGAAAACACTGTCAAACCAATCTGGCCTTTATTTTTTAAGTAACTTCATTACACAGTCAGCACTTTATCACAGCCTGCTGTGGGACAGAAACAGAAAACTTTCATCGTATAGGAGGAAAGGTTACATAATGAAAAAAAGCCGGATGCAAATACTTCTCAGTATGGCTCAACTGATTTATTCACAGTGATATATGCATACCCATGTTCGCAGCGCATAACTCATAACAGCTGAATCTTGGAAGTGGCCTATCAGTCCATTACTGGATAAATGTATAAAGAAAAGGTGGTGCTGACACACAAGGGAGTACTACTCGGCCAAAACAAGGATAAACTTGCATCATCTGCAGGAAAATGCATGCACCTTGAGACTGCAATGTCAGTGGGGAAGGGGACCGAGAGGCAGAAGGAAGGGGAAGGATGGGGGATGAAAAAAGGCACTGGGATGTGTTATGCACATGAACCAAATCCACACAAGACTGCAAGCATTACGTACTGCAATCGTGGACTAATAGAAAAAGATTTTATTTACTTAATTGACATAAAGCTTTCCCAAAAGTACAGATGGTAATGCTGAATGTCACTTACCTTCCGGTAAATCATGTGGCACATGGCTACTCTTAACCTCATCCCAGTGCACTGAACATGATAAAAATACAGATGGTGCAGGATGGCCAGGAAGAGCGTGCAGATGGTCAGCACTGTGGCATGGCCGTAAGCTCTGTACAAAGCCACAGAATCCGTGGAATAATTTTCAAAGTAATTAATAACTTTCCCCAAAAACAAGGGCTGAATTACTTTGATGCCTTCCTAAAAGAAGAAGGAGAAAAAAAGCATTCATTAGGAATATGAACCACACCACTTCTCTCAACACAAGCTGCTCTTTTCTTAGCACATTAAAAAGGTATTTTGGATTAAGTATGGCATTCATCACTGACCTACAAGAAATACATAACTGTTTCCCTCTTTGAAACAGATGGTAGTTTTAACCTAAAGTCAAAATTATCAGCTCAAGGACAATAAAGGTTTAGTACCCTGTGCCTGGTACCCTGTGGATGCTCAGTAAATATCACAGCCAGGCCTTTAAAACACACTTGGCAAACTGCCCAATAAACCCTAGTTTAAAATGAGAAAGGAAAAGAAAGCAACCAAAGAGGAAAATGATGATATTTGCTTACTGTGGACCATCTCAGCACACAGGGCTGGGCCACATCTTCCCACTTGCTGAGCCCTTAGCAACTGAGATATGGGACCCACACGGATCAGAAAAGAGAACCTTCCAATCTCTCCCAACCCAAACTCCACATATGGTAAAGCCAGGAAAAAAAGAGGGTCCAGGTTTACAGAGTTCCCAAGCTCCAGGCCCTAGAGCTGTAGCTTCAATAAGCCTCTGTCCCATAGAAGTTAGGATGTGCTCATAGGAGCTGCCACCGTCACTCAGGCACTCTGTAGTAAAAAAAATTAAACACAGCACATGTCGAGCTAAAATACCGCCATCAATGGTTTGCTATCAGCCTAATATCATAGGTTCTAAAGAAATATCAATAACCATCAATTCTGCAGGACAAAGATACTGGACTTTTCTCCAGGACAAGATAAGAGGGAAAACAAATTTCCTCCCCTGGACTAAAGGCAAAGCAACAGCAGAAACAGTGCTTGGGCCTGATACACAAGTGGCAAAAGAGTACTGACTCGTTCCCTCTCCCTGCCAGATGGCCACTCCACCCCTCACCTCCTTCCTCCCTCCAAGCCCTCACAAGGGACCTGAACCATCAAAGAAAATCAAACACTGCAAACCTGAGTCACCAAAAGTAAACACACAGCCCCTCAGCCTCATTTCCTCCTGACTTCATAGAACACTTAACACCACGGCAAGCTGAAACATTGAAGCAATGCCCAGGATTTGGAGGCAGATCTATTCATGTTGATGGGCACTGATCAAGATCATTCTCAGAATATCAGATCCCGATCTGAGGTGGTCTAGGACTTATATGGGATAAGCAAGCAGGAAATGCAGAACAGAAAGGCTTGTCGATTGGGGATTGGTTTATACAATCTGCATCACAGTGACCAGCCACTTCTATGAGGTAGAAGTAACAGGAACTGGAACAGAAAGTATTAGCTGGGCAACTAAGAAACTGAAGTATACTGGCCAGGTCAAGGGAGCATTTTCTGCTACAATAATACCAAAAGTTTGTAAATTTCTCAAGAATTTGACTTGAAACCAAACTTTTGCTTTGAAGCAACCTGGCAAACAACCAACAGGTTTGCTATTGACAGCTGTTTTCTGTCTATGTGAAGTGAACAAGCCACACACAAGACTGAGGGAGGACATGGAAGAGAAGGGAGAGAAAAAAAAAAAAAAAAAAAAAAAGAAACAAAGCTAACATGCAAATTCTTCCCAAGCAACTAGTGTTCAGGTGGATATTTACAGATGATGGTCTAGTCTCTGAAATGGGCCGTGACATTGGTTCACGTTGATCTGCCATATACTCATATGTGCACACAGAGACTTAGAATCTCATTGGCTTCTATGAGATCATGGAAGGTTTCATCTATTGTACAGAAGAAACACCATTAAAAAGGAGAACAAGTGAGAGGATCAGATACCAGAATATGGAGGCCTCTGGCTTCTCCAGCATGCTTAATCATTTCTCTCGAAAGTCATTGGGAGTTTAGAAAGAGTGCCTGACACACAGGGTCACAAGGACAGTTTCAGGGTGTGCTGAAATGAAACATGAGGAACCCCAGAGAGGCAAGAGGCAGGGCATGCACATGGCCAGTGCCAGCTCCGCACTGGCCCTAGAAGCCTGGGTCAGTCACATGCAACCTGAGGATGGAGACAGATGGCCACCAGAAGCCCTGCCATCCCACCCTCACCAAAACAGCCCCCGGAACATGGGGGTCACCACTGCCAGTTGCGCAGTTCTCCTGGCACGGGTAGAATTCAAACAGGGAAGGTGAGACCATAATGACAAGACATAGCAATATAACACAGAAAACAGGTACCAAAGAAAGGCAAATCACTATCACCAACAAGAACTGCATCAAGAAAGCAGGCTGCGAGTGATGAGCATGTGGCCCATGTTTTCCCTCCATCACAGACCCATACACGGCCGATTCTAACCTGGACTAACAAATAAAATGACTAAACAATTCTCACTATCAAACCTGTAACCAACCAAATTCAAATTTACTGGATTACCAGGGGAAAGATCAAAAGTTTCACAAATCCTGCATTTTAGATACAAGAATCTGAATCCTATGGAAGAATCTCTCTACAAACCAAGAATACAGTTATCGTTCTATAAATCGACAAAGAATAGTGTTTATTCCTCCACAAGAATTCTCAGTTCTGAAGCCACGTGGGACTTCACACTTCTCAGTACAGTATTCAGTACTCAGCACCTTAAAACCTCTGAAGTTTGGTAGCTGGGCATGGTGCTACACACCTGTGATTCTGGTATTCTGGGAGACTGAGGCAAAAGGATTGCAAGTTCAAACCCAGCCTGGACAACTTAGCATCTTAGCAAGACCTAGACTCAAACTAAAACAGTTTTTAAAAGGCTAGAGATGTGGCTCAGTGCAAAGGCCCTTGGTTCAATTTGTAGTTCAGGAAAAAATAAAAACGTGTGCATTTGGGCTCTGTCCTTAGAGTAACTTACTACAGGGTTAGATGAGACAAGAGTCCCTGTGGGCAGAGCTCCTTCATGCTGTCCCAGGACTTCAGACCTTCCTTGCCCAATGCCACCATGCCTGATCTGTGTGAGCAGAAACAACTCTGGAAACAGAGAAAAGCTGGCAAAGAAAAGCAGAAGAGAATGAACTTGTAGGGGAAATGAACAGGCAGTTAACCTTCGAAATGAAAGAACAGGGGACAAAGGTAGAATAGAGAAGATCCAAAAGGAAAGAGGATTACAGGGAACCTGGGGAACTCACACAGTCCTAGAGACATCTTAAGTCCTCTTTGAATCAAGGTCTTCAGGCCTGACTGCACCTGAGATGACCAGCGAGGTTTAAGAACTCACTGGTAAAACAGATTTAGATTCCACTGATAGGGTGGGGACTGACGGCCCCCACTCCTGCCCCAGCCAAAGATTCTCGTGGGCTAAACCAACCCCAAGGAAGCATCGACATCCTGACCCAGCCCTGGGTCTACAACTGGAGAGGCTGGAGACCTGCTGGGTAGAACTTAGGTGACCAGAGCAGGTTTTAATTGGGGCTGCTGCCATCTATCAAGCATCCAACACCAACAAACAAACAACTAGAAACACACAGGAACCCAGAATCTTAAGCTGTCAACCACAAAAAGACCTGTCATTCCGTATGAGAGAGAAAATTCAATGTTCAGAAAAGCCTACATACAGACAATGAAAGACTGAATCCTAACTTTTGTTTCGTAGTGCTACAGATTGAAGCCAGGACCTCATGTATTCTATGTAAGGGCTCTACCACTGAGCTCTACTCTTTTTATTTTATTTATTGTGAGGCAGGTTCTCACTAAATCCTTTGGGGTGGCCTAGAACTGCCAATCCTCCAGCTTCAGCCTCCAGACTAGCTGAGGTGACAGGCACATATCACTACACCCACGGTGTTTGCTTTTAAAGTTACCTCTAAAAAGAGGGAACAGGGCAGAAGACACAAGATTGACAGTCTTCTTTAAAAATAACCTCTTTGGTCTACCATAGTTTGGAACTATGAAAACATTATACAGAATTATAAAACATAATTAAAATTTTAAAAAGCAAATCTTAAAATTTGACAGTGAAATGAAGCAAATGTATACCCAAATATATACACAGAGACAGTCACCCATCTAGTTGTTGATCTAACCATATCCCCAAAAAAGCTATTAAAAGTGGTTTTAAATAAAATAATTTGAAGATGTATTCCCTGAGGAATATACCTCCCCTTTATGAGCTACAAAAAATCTTAAATTGCTTTCAGAAATCGCATTATGGGACTGATACTATAAAATAAAATGAATAATATCACCATATCACTGAGAACTGGCATTAGGCATGTGAGACAACAGAACAGATGAGACAAGAATAGAGACAGAAGAGTAAAGAAATTATATACAAATACTAGTACTCTGCATACGATCTGGAAATACCCATAAAAATTCAGGGGTCAAAATGAGTGCATCATGAAAATACACTTATTTTCTAGTTTATCCCTTACAAATGCCAAGAAGCAACTCCAACTGTGGTGCTGTAGTAGCTAAGTACCATGTCCCATCAAACAGGCCAGCATGACTTGGAGAAATGACTGCTTTTTTTCACAGTGCGGGTGAAATCTGCACAAGCTGAGCTGAAAGCTTTGCACCACTGCAGACAGCAGGAAGCCTGCAAAGACTACCAGAATATATTCGAAAGACCTTCAGGCCCCCTGTGGACGCTCCTGTAGCCATGGCAGGCCCCAGCCCAGCACACCAATAACAACTGCAACAGAGGAAGCAAGGAAGAAATGCTTCAATCCATGAGCTCATAAAGATACTCATCAAAACAAACAATAACAAAAAAACTCATTAGCCCCAGAGGGGATTATTAAGAGAGCCACTCATCACGAAAACTACTTTTTTTTAAGAGAGACAAAATTTAAAATTTCTCCTGATTTTCCTATACAGACTGTACCTCAGGATAACCAAAGAGTTGAGACTCGCAAAGTTTCTCTTTGTGAAAATATTGTAGTGAATAAATGCAAGGGAAGATAACTACTATATCACTATTGTATAACCTTCCAGTGAATGGACGGATCTTAAAGCGATGAACGTGAATGGCTCCTAACACACACACACACACACACAC